ACGGAAAAAGGGTCAAGCTAAAAGAAAGATACATATAGAAAAATAAACGAAAAAAGAAGATATAGAAAAGCATATGCGTGCATGATATTTTTACTCTATCCAATTCCTTTCAAACAGTCGAAGAGCTCACAGAGTGGCGCGGCTAACCGGATAAGGCATCCAGCGTTGTTGTTAGAATTAAGTAAACCGGCTAAGTGTGCTATAGTTATCAACTAGTTCTCGGTCCATTTAGGTAGAGCTAATGAGAGAAAGGTTTTATAAGCTGGTACTGATGTAAGCAAAGCAGTACATCTAAAAATCGAGGGTAGCTTGACGTTCTGTAGCTGTCGTTGACAGAACAGCGAATTTCCCTGCCCCGCTTTGGCAAGAACCGCCATCATCTGCCGACGCCAAAAGGATGGACAGTACATATTGCACTCTATGCTAACTCTGCTATGTGAAAGCGGTATGAAAGCATGCTGATATGAATAGCTCGACTTGTGCATCGATGGCTATATGCCGCCCCATGTCCGACTTTTGTCGTCTTTTCAACTTGTAGCCTATGACGCGAGCGCTGGATTCAAAACGAATGTCGAACGTCACGCAGGAACAACTTGGTGCTGATGACTGCTAAGCCGCTCGGATGCGAACGGGACGAACCGTTGTACGCAATAAGATCATTGCGTAGCTATACACAGAGTGAGCACTTCGATAGAGACGACCGTTGGCCGGCTCAAACCACATGGTATCCGTTGATCTCCAAATGATTCTTCTTGAATGGGTCAACATTTAGGGTATTAAATATCCACCATCTCATATGAAATATGGACATTTTCACAACTACAAACAGAGTCCAGCGACAAACTGGCTTGGTATGTTTTTTTATTTACGTATGTGTATTTTTCAATTCACTGAACGAGCGCGTCATTTGTTATATGCTCATACTGACACATCGTTGGGGTTTGGCTGGTAACTGCATGCATGTTTCAAGTATTAAGTGCACCCCTAATCTGTGCATATATATATAAGCATCGCTGACCGATCAAATCCCTATCATACAGGACATCGCTGCACAATGTATTTTCGATACGTTTGAGTGAACTACTCACGTTGACTGCTCAATCATTAAGCATCGTCATTTCTGTGTAGGCGAAATAGAACAGTTACTGCGGATCGTAACGTGTGTATATGTGCGGTAAAAATGGCCAAATGGCTAAAAACAGATTACGATTTCATCCATTTTCTAAATCGACAATTATTTAGTCTCGCAGACCATCATCCATCACGGATCACAAGTATCGTGGGAATGAGCAACTGAATGTTTCGGTAACGTCAATTCTTACTATTGTTATTATAAATTGAAAATGCTCTTTGACACTGCGATGGTAGGTTAGATTGGAATTATTAGAGAATCAATCAACACTGGGTATGTTTACGGCACGCTGGGTAGCACGTATCGTGTGGGACTGATTAATAAAACAACGTCTCTAAATGTTGGTTTTGCTACTTTTCGACATCTAAAGACTGTTCCTGTTACTGCCCAGATTTCCACCACTTACGCTGAAGTGATACACTTCATTGAAATCGAGATGAAGCAGCTGTACGATACAGACAATAGTTGTAGTAGTAACAACACGACGAGAGTTATTAGACCATCATTCTTCTGTTCAATCTGTCAACACTCAAAGCTGCGTTCAATGGCCGCTCCTTCCACCCATACCAACGGTGCATCTCGTCGAAAATACGTAGGACTATACCAGACCTTCGCGCAATCACTCGTCATTATTACAACCGCCATCGGTGTCCCCATCAGAAGCATTGCCGCCTCTTTATCATCGCTGCTATCATCATCGCTGTCATCACTACATGCTTCTCAAGTAACCGCCCTTCGAATCTTTGACTCGTTTTACTTCGTTTACTTTGTCGTCGTCCTATTGCTCTGTCACTTACTACTAATAACAATAAAACAACCAAAGACCCTTCAGTGACTCGAGCCCCAGCAGTGTTTAGCTCGGTTGGAAAAGCTATGGCAGGTGTCGTAACGGCTGCCCGGGCGGGGATGTGTGAGCAATTCGAGCAGATGCAGATGCCACCATCACCGTTTCCGCGCGACCGAAGTTCTAACCAGCGTCCTTTTAAATTGTGGTCGGCCGCAATATTGGAAACGAAATGTCAATAAATCCAATAGACGACAGTGTAGAACGATGAGGAGTCGAGTCTGCCGGCGTCGCGCTGCATCTTAAATGTAATTGTTTTCTCGAGTGCAAAGCAAACACGACGAGAGGCAACGGTTGACTGGTGTGACGAGAACGATGATGACCCGATCGAGAACAGTTATCATTTTCAACATGGTCGATATATGCGCAGGAGCACGCACACGTTGACAAAGCGCAATTTTTCCAGATGTGCAAATGGGGTAGATACACGGTTAGAACAATGGTTGTGGTAAAATTAGCGGTAAAGTACATGAGCCTTTATGAAAAATGCTTACCTACACATGACGATATTTAATTGCTAAAGACGCTAATCAGCAAGAGCTATTTTTCTATTGAACCCGTTATTGTCATTCTGCCCAGCTACCAAAATTGGCCACATATTCACGTTGCTCCGTACATCATCAAATCACGACAAACATGCTTGTATGCGTCGACATCTAGGATTTCAAATTTCTGTTCACCTATCAATTGTATCATTGTATTGGCGCAGAGGAGTACTACAGTCTTCCTTTGTCTTGGAAAGCAAGCGTGTTCAACGCTACATGTTACGGAATAAGTAAAGCCTTGAGAATTGGTCCTGTCTAGCTTATGTAAGGATAGTGCAGTGTCTAAAGTAAGATTGGCCTGGCCTCGGGCAGATATCAATTTCGTAATGTACTGTATCTGCAGTGTGTGTCAGTTAGAAAGCTAACCCCGCGTACTGAATCGTTCGAATTTTTAATATTATAGACGATCAGACAGATAGTTCAACTTCGACTTGTACATTTTAACTTTACTCAACATATTTCGCTTTAGCAAAAAAGGCTAAGGTTAGAACATGTTGCTTTAGCCCGTTCATGGTATTGTGGCGCGGATCAAAAAAAAAAAAGATAACTAGAAGCAATTTTAATGGCAGTTTATCTCATCAATGTTTAGGGCCCTGTTTTTCGTGTATTTTAACGATATATTAGGAACTCTAAAAAATCCCATGGCAACATACACAGTTATCGCAGACTCAGCGTTCCCTACGCCTATGGCACTGTGCCGGATCACAGCGCAATTTCATCTATGTCCGATTATGACATAAATAGATGACACATGCTTAGCTAGTGACCGCTATCACTTTACTCAGGCAACACGTACAGGCTAGTACGAATGTGTACATAACAGTAATAGGCGATACGCGAGGTAGGAAATCCGCTATAGACGCTGCACGACCCTGGTTGCCGAGGCTTATTGAATATTTTTTTTTTGCCTCCTGCTATTTTTGTTAGTCATGGTCCTTGCGAAAGGGACAGGGCTTACATTACTTTTGCTGGGCTCGATCTTTTCTAGAACAGTTGCTTGTTTGGTTCCTTGGCCGCCTGAGCGCGACGTAGTAGCACAGGATGCAGGTTACACATTGGAGGAACCTTTACGGAACCCCACTAGTGCTTGCACAGGCGTGTCCAAATGCACGCACACCGATCCAGACAGACAGGCAGACAGACAGATAGATGAGTCTATATAAAAAACAGATGGAGACAAACATCGGCAACAAACCCATAAGGATGAAACGATTAAACATAGGAGAAGTACGAATAGAAGACGCTTGCATGCTTCAATCCAATGCTTCAATTATACCGAGAACTTTTTCTTAGCGCTATACACACCATTCCCTGTCTAAATCAGAAAAACGTGTTGCGTCGGCATTTGCCTACAGCTTTGGCTGGCCGCTAAACTTCGTTGAGAGCTGTCTAGCCGCGCTGCAAGTATAAGATAATTTCGCATTTTCGAAACAATGTCTTTCCGTAAAAACCAATAGTTTGCTATTCACTCTGTAGCTCTGGGTAGCTCGGACACAGGACCATGCACATGACGCCGATGCGAAGCCCGCTATTCAGCTCTCAGCTATTCAAGGGGTTGGCGCAAAGCGAGATTAGGAGACTTAGCACGGCTTAATGTGTTGCCTTCATTTGTAAATCTTCATTCTCTGTTTATTAAAATCTAAAACGTGAGATGTTATTATGATGGTCATCCCGAAAGGGATCTAGGCATAACTCGGCCCACTTCAATCCCTCGCCGCGGAGAACACACTTATGTTGCGAAATGTTAACACTAATGTAAAGTACTATATGCCGTGTTCCTTTCAATTGATTAGTCGATTGTTTTTCTTTAGCAGACCCATCAAACGGCATCGTAACAATATGTCAGACTGTTTTCCAAGGCTAAAATTTGGATCAGCAATTGCCATGTGCATGGTGAGGCACTTAAAGGGGTGCGTATTAACCGCTGACATCACACCGCCTTTTGCTACTGAGTATTGCAGGACGGCAACTTACATCAACTTGACAAAAAAATATTAACAGACGAATGCCAACCGAACGTAATACAGTTTACCGCGTAAGCTATTAATGTATTCAACGACCCACTAAAAAACTATACTTTATTATTTAGCTTCCCTGCTGTCCGGCAAAGTGCGAAGTACGGGGAGATAGAACCGTATAAACTTGCATACCCCAACTAGAAGTTATTCATTGATGCTTACACAGTCTGCCCTTGAATAATTTTCGTCCCTTAGTAGATTTCATCTTTTAGAGATATACGAATTAAATATCGCTGGTCAAAATCATAGGCAATCACGATATAGTCTTTACATTTTTCGGCGTTGCCAGACGCAAGTTAACGCGTTATCTTGATATGGATTACCAGCGAGAAGCTAAAATTCAATTTTCATTCGCTATAATAGAATGTCGTTTTATGCCTTCTAAGATCTAACAAAATGATCGCATTATACTACTATGCTATTTGGGTCAATAAAAATTAATCATATGGTTTTTTCTTCAGTAAAATACATCTCTAGGCACCTTTCACATGATACACGTCGCTCGTAAATCGTTACGCGAACGGACACTGCGACAATCGATCGTGGCTTAAACGTGTGGATCTTGGTTTCCGTTGAGCTACTGCCATCATTGACCAGAGGAATCACTGCAAAGGCGCTCAGACATTTCTGTCCCCTGACGCAAGCATTCAATGACGGGAAAAGCTGTGAGGCAGGAGTATAAACTACTTTCTGCAAGTGTCTATGCTATACTAACACATATCTCCTTAAAAATCGATAATCATCCCTATATAGCTCGCTTCGTTACTGAACAGCATCCAACATTTAAGGGATTTTCTATTAGAGAATATAGGTTGATTCATCAATACCGGTTGCATGTATGTATGTATGTATGTATGTATATATATATATATATATATGTTTAATTATTGGCGATCTGAGCAAAAACAAATAACTTATTATTTAATCGAGAGAAAGAGAAGTGGCTCAATAGTACAAAACATGTCTATTCTACAGAAAGGTGTCTACTTTCCAACTGTTTTGGACAAACGTAAGAAGGAACCTTTTTCGCGGAACAATAACGAAACGAAGTCGGCTGATCTACAGCCAGTGCGCGAATCATCCACATGTTTCTCTACAAGACACCACCGTAAGGAGATTAAGAGTCACGTTTATCCGTCCGCAGTGAGACATCTGCATGCACAGCACATAGCTCATACACATTATTAAGCTGGGTTCTTATGGCACACATCATAAGTAGGGTAGCTATAGCGTCGTGTGAAGAAATAGGTCAAAACGAATAGGATAACTATCTGGCTAGCAGGCAGAGGAGTATTTCAGCAAAGAATTTTCATGCCACTACAATTAATGGGGAGCATCTTGTACGTCAGCCTCCCTGTAATGGGGGCTGTCGCTTATCTTCAATATGTTAACTCATCAATTATTGTTGTCTTTAGTAGCAGGTCTATATTCAGCGCGAGCGAGATTTTCTATTAAAAACCGCTCGTCTTGTTAGTTCTATAGGGGCCGTTCGAACTTTGCGTCTATAATGCCTTCTCTGTAATAGTGACTGCATAGCTAAATAACCGATAACAGGCAACAGCAAAAAGCAACTGTCAGTATTGTGGACACCAATTGCCATCGTCGTTGTCGGCATTGAGATGATCAGGATCTTCATCGCTTGCACCGCCCTCCTCTCATAGGCCGTCTGCTTGTCACGCCCAAGACAAGTGTATATATCCTAATGACTTGTCTTGCTGACTGGTCCACTCGAGCATTGTCTCTTGCCTGTTGCTTACTATTCGTTGTGCAATAGCTTTCCTCGTTGCGGACCGCCGCTATCACATCGATAGCATCACTCTTCGCCGTCGCTTATTGGCAACACATTTGTCGGCTGAAGATTTAGCTAGAGCTAGCTGTCATTGACCTAACGTGCCATTGCTAGCAAGAATGAGTCTCACATACATAGGGTTCTGAAGTTACCCCTCGTTGTCTTTAGCACACGAAAAGCATATGAAACTTGATGACGACGACGACGACGATGGCAGCGGCTGTGATTGCAGCCCGTAAAAGAACAAGTCAAATATAATAAACTTACTTGTGTAGCCATTTGCTTTTCTCTCTCAATAGATATGCGTGTGTATCTGGATATATATGTGTGTATACATTATAGATGTGCAGTTATCCCAAGAGTACTATGCCGGTTCGTGCGCCCCTACAAAGCGATACGGCGCCGATCTTCCACGGTCAACAGCGTTTAACGGAGAGAGCGAGAGAGAGAGGTAGACAATAAGGAGTTGGCATATCCTGTTACTTTGTTTATAGCTTTCGCGCGGCGTGGGTGAAAATTCGGACGCGAACGAGAAGTCTTCAAACCGTGGATCACAAAACGGCGTCCTACAACGCTCGAGTCATTCCGCGGGCCGCAAACTCCACACGGAGTAGACTGTAAAGTAAAACCGCCGACGACAATAACAACATACAGTGACGCATACGGCGCTTAAGTTAAGCGGTGACGCCGCGTAGGAATATTACGGGGGCTGGCAAAAAGATGGGGGAAAGTCCGAGAAGATGGTAGATATGCACAAAACGTATTGCTGTTGTGGCTCTTTTTGTACGACTGTAGCGAAGACATGTTGAAGACCATCGAGCAGCGCAACGGATTGAGATATATACGGTGACAGGCAGTGGAACGCTGTTGACGTCGGGAACGCGTAAAGACAAAGGACTCGCGGCAGAGATCGTCGTACCAGCAGCAGCAGCAGCAGCAGCGGTATTGCTGAAGGCAATACTGTGGAGTACTTTACAGGGAATGCCACAAAGACAGCGAGGAGAAAAGGTCCGCCAAAAACATCATTACAAGCAGGAACTGTAGAAGCAAAGGTGTGTGTATACAGATACATATATGTACATATATCTCTGCATAGACACTTATTAGGAGGGGGTGAATAATAATGAGACACAGTGTAATATGTTTCGTGTCCACATTTTGCGAATGATGGCGTAAAGGGAAAGAATTCAATTGTTGCTTCATCTGATAATGCTTACGGCTTTCACTTGGTAAGATCTACGGAGTAGTTTTCTGTATTAGCAACTACTTAATATTACCGTAAACTATTGTTTTAACGCGGTAACTAGCATCCGCGGATTATTTATAATGAAAGCTTGCATTGGCTTCACAGTTTTCCTACATCAACTACCTCGCCATGAAGGTGCAAAGCCAGCGTTGACCTGATTAGCTTCAGTGTGAAAGCAGTGTACTTGCGTCTTGTAATCATTACCGATTTACCCTTCTAGAGTTCAGTCTGCTGGAAGACGCATTAACTGAGAAACAGTCACCTTCATAAGCGCAGGGAACCTTCAGCTAGGTACTGATACAAGTGAAGAAAAGTCCACAGATAAATCTAGTGTTCTATGTAATTTGTTTCTCTGAGTGACGCCTTGGTAATGGAAACGGATATCTAGTGTTTCGAAGTTCAGCGACTTCGACTGATTTAATTTTTACTATATATATAT